CGTACGGACTCCGTGGGTCTAACTTCATTATTCTCACGTGCAATTGCTGTACGGACAGCGCACGAAGCACGTGCGTGCCACGCACGGTGCTTGCGTCATCCGTGCTTACTCATCACTTCCCAGTTGACCTGCTCAATGACCACGCAGAACACACGTGCACCATACCACATACTGATTTCTACAGTATATAAAGACGACTTGACAGGCGACTGCCAACTCGTCTCCAAGATGCCCAGGAAGGCTCAGAAGAAGACTACCAGACAAGAACCAAAGAAACGGGCCGTAGGATTCCGTACGGAGGTTGTAGTCACCACGCACGGATGCCCTATAGCTACGTTTGCCCATGTTTTTGCACGTAGACAGCGCGCAGAAGCACGTACGGCGGGTTGTGACCGAGGCTTTAATGACTGTTACTTCAGGACTGAGCCGGTATTCGTGCCTCGTTAGCAGCTTAATGGACTTGGAGAACTATATCATCGTTATGAAAAACTGTCTGTTCGGAGTTATAAAGTATGATAAACTGATAGGCGAAAGCAGATTTAATTAAGATGAACAATGGCACTGTTCAAATAGACACGAGCCTCCAACCTTTGAGGTGGCTGGCGATTGGGATTTTTATTTGTGTTGTTTTGTGATCACTTGCGTTTTTAATACGGTCAAGCTTACTCATGTATCATATTCAACAATTAGCTATAGGCCACAACATGTAATATCATCATGAATAACATCAGCACGCGCATGGATTTTTGCTTTTTTTGGAGAAAAAAAAAACAAGAAATTTTGTTGCCTTCTGACAGTGGTCAACATGCCGAAAATGGGCAAAGATGTCTTTTGTAATGCCGGAAGTTTATAGAAGATAACTATGAAAAGAGGAGACAAGAAAAGGCTCTGATTTATTGTTTTGTTTCTTACTTTGATGCAGTGATATGTGATGCTATGTGTGATGTTCCCACTGAATCAAAACCATTTGTACAATGATTGAGTCAAAATTTTAAAATGTAGGAACCTTGTATTTTTCAGCCAGTCTGTTTTTTTTTCGCCCGCTCGCATTAGATTTGGAGTCTGAGGAGGATGTCATCCATAAAATTTACATGATGTGGCCTAAAGGTCCATGAACAAAAAGATAGAACAAAAAACACCAGCCATCCCTAAGTTCTGTGCAAGATGGCACGTAGCACAAGGTGTGGTTGTCGTTCAATTGTTTGCTTTTCGCAAATCCCTTCGCCTTCTTGGTAATTTGCCCCTCTCGTAGTCGCAGTAATTATGATTAGAAATGGCACATAAGAGACGGACGGTAAACACATCTAGAACAATGGAAAAGTCGTTCGTCCGGTGCCCGGTGTTTGTAAACCGCACCTGTCTATATACCACACCGAGAGACGTCAGGGAAACCAAACTAGTCTCTACCAGACTAACTACGCTGGCTATATATAGGAGAATAATTGCCAGGGGATCGAAGTTTGACCGCCTTGTAGGTTTGACTGGCCGCGCAGTTAGGAGGGAAAGAAATATAAACTACCTCCCCGCGGCCGGACTCCCTTGGCAAATTTTACTATATTTTTTGCCGAATTCAACGATCCGTATTCCAGTAGAAAGGCCTGGTGGAGGCTAAAACCAAACGCAAACAGAAGACTACTGCACAGCAGTAGCTTTCATTGTTTCAGGCGTGTGAAATTTGCACATAATGTGAAGTCACTGATGTATGCATAGCCACTGTCACACACAGTCAGGACATTCCCACGACTTTTCAAGGACCCATTCCCACAAGCATAGAATTGTCTGGATCAAGCCGGATTGATTCACTTTGATCCGGCTTCGAGTCGACCAATTTCAGGTCGCAGAGAGAGCGCAGAAAGCGCGCAAAGGAGCGCAGTGAGAGCGTCCTAGTAAAATGTGGGCCTTTGCCCTTGATTGAATAATCTAAATATGATACAGGATGTGCAAGAGTGACTTTGAAAGAGAGAAAACGTACAAAATTTCGTTCTCTATCTCTGTAATTCGTTGAGTGAGGTATACATTCGTTGATCGCCCCAAAACGTTGATGACATTTGAGTTTTTGGTCGCGCAGAGAGCGCAGAGAGATCACCGTAGAGATTCCACCTGCTTGAGCACGTTTTTCATGGAGTTCTAGCCAATTTCAGGTCGCAGAGAGAGCGCCGTGAGAGAAGCGGAATGCGGGCCTTTAACAGTCGAGCTTCGGTTAACTGCCCCGTGTTGGTCAATTGTCATAGCCTCTACCAGGCTTGAGGAGGCGGCTGGAAAGAGTAGAAATCGGCCAAAATAGAGAGATAAGCATGCCAAGGGAGTATGGCCGTTGAGAGAACAGTTCGCCGCCCCACAACTGTTCTCTCAACGGCCAAACTGCCTTGGCATGCTTATCTCTCTATTTTGGCCGATTTCTACTCTTTCCAGCCGCCTCCTCAAGCCTGGTAGAGGCTACAATTGTCACCGAGCCAAAGTATGGCCGGCCGGTAGCGCGTAGCGGATCGTGGGGAGCGGACGAAAGCTAGAACGGCTACGTAACATTCAGGGTACACAAGACGCACACTACAGCCACTCCACCATGGCCAAACCGAAAACATATCCTTCTGCCGAAGGCAAATATACATAATCTAAGCAATACAAAGCAGGCAAATTGGGGTCTAATTTATATTGTACCAGTTGATCATATTCTCCAATCACTTACAGTCTTATCATAACAAAGAAGGCTGTTCTTACATTTCCTGGTGGAATATGCGAATGGGGTTCTAATTTGAATAAATTATGTTATTAAAGGAGACAGTACGTGCGACCGTCTATCTTAACAAAAATTTAATATTGAAACACTGTATCCTTCCTTCCCTGTGTGTAAATAATTGGCGATTTCTTTATGGTAATGGTAATTTAATTTTAATACCTTCTGGCATGTGTACGTTACTTAAAGGTTAACATTTCTATGCATATATTATGTTAATATTGAGGACATTTGCATAATTAATGAGGACATGTTGAAATATTGCCAAAAGATAGAAATTTCACCTGCAAAATATCATAATTTGAGTTTAGAAAACCATAACTTTAACTAGATTGTAGTAATTATGATCTTATTTTTGAATGAGACAAATCCCCCAAAATATTTACATAAACTCTACATATTTCATGGAGGTATGAAATCTCCGAATTCTTGTTCCCGTATAAATAGAATGACAACGTCAGTGTTACATGATTCAGTAGAAGGAGAGGGGCGTGATCAGGAAGCTGGCGGCGGGCCATGGTGTTTTCCTGTCCCGCTTGGAGATGGGGGGTTGATATCAACTACAAACATATGTTATACATAGGCCCTGGGTTCTCACGCATTTACAACCTAAGAGTCACCCGACCAACCAACCAAGTTCAATACCTAAAATGTTTTGTTGTGGTGGTGTAGTCTTGTGTGGATAACATAATATGGTGTTCAACTTTTGATTGTATGCTGATGTAGTTTACAGTGTACAGCCAGACCTGTACAAGTGATCACCTTTAAGCGCGGGTCACAACCCGCCGTACGCGCAACTCCCGGAACCAAGCTTTCTACCAGACTATTGAATCGGCTTAAGCTGAGCTTTATGGTCGCTTCTGGTATTTATCATGCATCAAATTCAAGATTCTGTATTCTCCAAGCAGAGGTTTAAGGTTCGGCTTATTTTTTTACGTTTTTTTTAAATCTCCATAGGAGATATCCCTCCGCAGGAAGGAACTGTTTTCGGTCATATTTGTGTGTGTTCGCAGCTGCATATGTAAGGCCACAGCAAGTAATTTTTATGGATGACATCAGCGCGCGCTTTAATTTTCGCCTGATTTTGGAAAAAAAATTATTATTTTTTTTTGCCTTCTGACAGTTGCAACATGCCGAAAATGGGCAAAGATGTCTGTTGCCATACCGGAAGATGGATGGCAGATAACTATGAAGAGAGGAGACAAGAAAAGGCTCTGATTTAATGTTTTGTTTCTAATACTTTGATGCAGTTATATGTGATGATGGCTGTGTATATGTGATGTTCCTGCTGAATAAAAACCATTTGTACAATGATTGAGTCAAAATTTTGAATTGTCGGAATCTTGTTTTTTCGGCCCGCCTTTTTTTCGCCCGCTCGCATTAGATTTGGAGTCTGCGGAGGATGTCATCCATAGAATTTACTTGCTGTGGCCTAACTAACGGTGGGTTGGACAACAGAGCAGTTTGCATTCCTACATTAAACATAGAGTTATCTTATGTACATGGCGAAAATATAACCGGTAAAACAATACCCATTCTGTTAATTAAACAGCCGATTGTTTGAGAGTTTGGCAAAGTAGTCTATTAATAACCAGACGGCCAGTGACCTGAATGAATGAAAGAATTCGAATGAAGACCTTTATTGTACAGATATGCCCGCTGGGTTAGGTGGTGTTTACAGCAAAAGAATAATTTACAGATGGATGCATCGCATTATGACTAAGCTTGCACTAGTACTACTAGTACTAGTATAATAGTTTAATATGGTTGATGCCCTGCCCCGAGGTGTATATGGTGAGGTAATCCCTGGTCAGGTGTGACAACCACTGAATAAACCACCAGGTAAGCGTAGTAATTACTTTTAGTGCCCTGTCCCCTGTATAATGGTACGGTCCAAAAAGTGGTCAATTATTCTAATAACCGACCACTTTTGAGGTTGCGGCCTACTAACCCATGGGAAATGGAGCCTTCTGTTTGGTCAACTTCTTTTGGCTACATTTTTGTACATGTAACGTTATATGATGATATGTGCTAATCCCCTCACCTCCGCAGTAGAAATGGATGATCCCCGTCCACCCACGGGCTCGGGGTCAAGGCTCCGCCATGATATCTACTGGACCTCCCCCAACCCCCACCACTATTTGCATATGCGGCTGGGCCAGGCAGGCAACAAGCCTTGCGGGCGGATCTGTATTGAATCCAGCTGTCTCACACTCGCACTCGGTTGGGGAGGAACTTCCTCAAAAATAACCTCTCAGAGTTTCTAGTTTTGAACACCAAATTATCTTGAAGAAGACACGGAAGAAAGTGACTTGTACAGAAGAAGAAGAAGCTATGATTGTGGCGGCGGCGGTCGGAGTCTTGGTCCTCTATGCAGGAGTCGCGCAGGCTCTCCGTTCAGGTAAGAAATCTTCTTACGACACGTCTTTAGCTTTTCCCTCCCCAAGACAGTAACAAAACCGCTATACAGTAAGTTGTTCCGCCGTTGAATGCCTGACATTCTTGGAAGTCGTACTGTTGTGTTCATACGTGAGTAGAGAACACGTAACCTTCCGGAGGTATGACTCAACTCTTTTTAAACTTCAGGTCCAGTTTTAGACTAGATTTTAGAAAGGTTACAGTTACACTCGACCGGAACTTGATAGGCCAGTTTGTGGCGAGATGCCCCCCCTCCCCCTGGCCTCAAGTCCTGATACTAAATTGGTCAGAGAACCACTGGTTAATTCTTTACAAACTAATTACTACCCAATCTTATGTACAATGTCGGTTAGCTTGTGTTTGTTCCTTAACGAATTACATTATCTATATAGGATTAGGATAATTTACATGGTAAACACATAGAATCAACTGTTATAATTTATTTGATATCAAAATCGCCACACCAGATTTAAATATCGCACCAACACTAAATATAGTATGTCTACAAATGTATGTCTCTATTTTGTATAAAGTCTTCTTTTTTGTAACCATTATTTTTAACCCAGATCATGTTGCGAAAGTGTTCCATGAAGGGTCGGTCCTTCAGCATACAGGCAGTACGTTTTTTGTCTTGCGGTAAAACCTTTTCAGACCGCAAGTTAGATACTTCTCTAGGCCTTTCTACGGGAATACGGATCGTAGAATTCGGCAAAACAGAGAGAGTAAAATTGGCTTCATGGGAGTCCGGCCGCGAGGAGGTAGTTTCTTACGCGGCCAGTCAAACCTACAAGGCGGCCAAACTCAGGCCCTGGCAAATATTCTCCTACACATAGCCTGCGTAGTTAGTCTGGTAGAGACTAGATACTTCTGTGGGGAAGGACGAAGCAAAAATGGTGCACATTTGTTGAAAAGACACATGTGCATACGACAGAATGATTTACAGAACTCCAAACTTGCTCTGTTTGTACATGGTGTGATGAGGTCACTACTGATATCTGATATCTGCACACTGTATATCATGACGTCATGAAACTGTCGGTTCCTGTTTGCCTTAAAGATTATAAAATTTGCCATAAAGATTATAAAATTTTGATTATAAAATTTTGACATGCCGAAACGTTTTTTCCTGATTGATGTGGGTGGGTGTTCAGAGATATACGACTTGAGGTACGCGACGTGTTGCAAGTTTGTGCAACCGGAAGTGATTTTACGTTTAGTCTGACCATGCATGGTCTGACTCGGCGAAACTTGGGGACGGTTCAGTTTTTCTCCAAGGATGGTCCCATTGCCCACTTACCCGGCCAGGGCAAGTAAAAGCATACCCTGGGTGCCAAACTAGTATCGGGCCGTTAGCCGTTTTCCTTCGGCAGCCAAGAGCACTTCGCCCGCCTATCTAAATTAGCGCTACGGGGGAGTTGAGCCCGAGGGGTTTGTCCGGCCCTATTACTAATAGCTGCCGAAGGAAAACGGCTAATGGTCCGATACTAGTTTGGCACCCAGGGTAGTAATAGCACTGTTCGGGCAAGTGAATATCACCCTGTACTTGCCCGATTGGGCAATTAAATTTTTTGGTTGTGGCATTATGCCCCAGTGTTTGGAGCAAAATCACTCATCGTTTCCCCATAACGTATTTCTATAATATCGTATTGATGTCAGTCAAAAGTATAACTTTTTGTCAGAGAATCATTTGCCAAGTCTCAAACCTCTTTATTTTGGTAAATACTGGTCAAGCATTATAAGAACAGTATAAAGGTTGTTTTTTTTTACTGAAAACTTTTCCTTGCGGTAAAAATGAATAGAAATGTGTCCTTGATATGTCCTTGAAACGTTTCTCTGCACTTTCTAAAGAATGTCTCTTACAACGCAGCATTAGAATTCTTCCTGACCTCTGGGCGTGTATGAGTTTGTTTAAGATAAGCTTATTACACACGTGGTATCACATGGAGCCTGACCTGTTACCTGTGGTGTGAAACATGTGTGCACGGTGGTGACATGTTCAAACTTCCAAACATTCAAACAATGAAGGAAACAGACATGAGTGATGAAATCGTCTAGCCTCCATCAGGCCCTACGGGAGTACGGACTGTAGAATTTGGCACGGAAGGCAGGAACAATTGGTCATGAGTGTCAGTCCACGGGAAGGTTAAATTCCCCTAGTCTCCACCAGACTCCTTTTGCAGGCTGAATAAATCGTAAAAATCGGCCTTCTACGATTTATTCAGCCTGCAAAAGGAGTCCGTGCAGGCCAATTGGACCCTCTATGGCCGGGAAACTCCTCTAGCCAATATTATATCCTCTTTTAGGCCGATTTCTACGATTTATTCAGCCTGCAAAAGGAGTCTTGTGGAGACTAAAATTCCCCCTCAAAAAGGAAATTAACTCTACAGGGGCCGAAAATTTCCTACTCTCCAAGCAGAGGTTGGTGGGGAAAATCGTTACCTTTTTATATTCCCCGTTTTTCTGTCGCTACTCCCACCAGACAGAAGGGGGCATATATAAAAAGGTAACGATCTCCCCACCAACCTCTGCTTGGAGAGTATTATTCCCCTATATTTGGGTAAATTGTACTGTTTTTGAACCCACTGATGGAGACTATACATGTAATTCGTCTGGTACAAACCCTATACGACATGACGCTTTTTCAACGTTTTTTCAACGTTTTTTTCAACGCTTTTTCAACGCTTTTTCAATAGTTCAACGTTTGGTGCAAAAACGTTACATAATGCCCCTTTAAAAAATGCAGGGCATCCTACATAAAGATATGCCTGTCCCGTGGAACATGTTGCCCATCTATTACGGGTAGCCTCTTGAGACGGTTATCACGTAGACCAATCCTTGCGGGGTTCTTATCGGGCGCGTCAGTTGTAAAACCACGATTTATATCTTCCCACTTAGACCTAAAGAGTCAGAGACGAGTTGTTTCATAGGTCAGTGTGTGAGATATATGGTCATGTTGGTGGGAAGGCAACATGCGCGGAGAGAAAGAAAACAAGCACTACAGCAGTGTCAGCAGTTATTCTTACCACACTGTATCATTTCAAGTACATCCTCATATCGGTTACCGCCATATACATGTAACCCACCTATTGATACAGGTAGAGTAGACAAATTTGAAGGGCTTCTTCTACTTAGGTAACTGCTGACCCTGTATTTCTATGCCTCAACTTAATTCAGGGCTCGAAATACTGGGTGCCACCCAAAATTGGAGTTGTGCACCTAATTTTTTTCTGTGGGTGCACTGGTGCACCCAAATATGTTTGTAGGATTTTTTAAACTTAGAAGTGTATAATAGTATACCGGATATTTTTGGTCTCTAAGTATCAGAAAAATAATAAAATCTTTGTTGCAGTAATGTTTAAAATTTTGAAGTTAGCTCTCATTTTAGATTCAAGCTCAGAAGAGGAGCAGTAAGACCTGCAATTAGGTTTTGTTTCATATGGTTTACCCAAAAAATGTATGTGCACCTAACTTTTTAGGTTTGGTGCACCAGTGCACCTATTCCCAAAAATGTATTTCGAACCCTGTAATTCCTGAATGGCTTTTAATACTTTGTTATCTATGCTACATAATGCAACGTGTTACGGGATATAAAATGCGCCAAACTGGTGGCTACGTTTTAAAGAGTGTGACATGTTTACAAGACTGGTCACTTGAAAAAAAACATGTTTGAAGACCTACATGGTTACATGTTTAATGGGTGCAAAGTGCGTCTTTAAAAGGGCCATTAAGTACATCACATGCCTCAATTAGTGTCAAAAATAGCGTCTTTCGCGGTTAATCATAGTGATTTATTTCATAATGACTGATAGTGCATATCTGTGTTTTCGCCATATAATTTGAGGATATAGGACTTGTAAAATTTGTCAACAGTTAGTTAAATGTACTAGTTGCTAGCTTTTAACGTCTCTCCAGATTGAACATTGCAACATTTTCACAAAAGTAGTGTTTGGTAGATTTTTTTTATATCCCATCATCAACACTTTGATATCAAAAATATATGTACCGATTGACAGGCCTTGCCTGTATGTAAGATCAAGTTGCATTTAGCATGAATGTTCATCTGTGTTGTTTACTTCATTATTATTATGGCAAAAAGGGAATTTGGGTAAGTCCTAAATTACTCAGTGTCGGAAAGAACGCTTAACCCTTTTTGTCATAAGGTCGCATTTAATTTAATCAAGTGATGCCGTACGGCCCGCTTTAAAACCATTCTTTTAATACTCCTGACTTCGTTTCACAACAAAAGAATGTTCCCTACGAACTTGGCTGAAAACCAGAGTGACTGTTGTCACTGTTGTTGACTTCTCGGAAACAACAGCTTTGCGTCATGACCACCGACTGCGGCAGGACGAGCCATGGCGGCCGCTGGCACTCTTACCTCCCCGGGGAGACTACAGAAACATAACTGCTGCAAGCGTGGAGATAGCCTGGATACCAGACTGTTTCCAGGGTTTACACTCCACAGGCCGGCTCCTCCTACTCTCCAAGCAGAGGTTTGGGTTTTGGAGTATTTTGGGCGTGTTTTTAGGCTTTTTTATCGGCGTTTCTTTTTTTTTTTGCACTGGAATCTTTTCACTCCACCGCCCAACAGAATTGAAAAAAAAAATTCCAGTGCAGAAAAGAAACGCCGATAAAAATCCTATAAACACGCCCCAAATACCCCAAAATCCAAACCTCTAGATATGCTTCGAGAGTATACGTAGGCTCCTCCACTCTAGGGCCAACATGATGTTATGTTATGGGCCTCGCACCCAGGCTATCATTTTTTTTGTAAATTTCATCACAAGACGTGGTGACGGAACACTCAGGCTATCATTTTTTTTGTAAATTTCATCACAAGACGTGGTGACGGAACACTCAAGTTTGTTCAGTTTATTTTTGTGCCGTCAACATCATCTAGAGGACAACACAATACACTCATTTACATGTACACCTGAGTGATGTAAGGTGAGTCGTGAAGTGCATTTTCCAAGGGCGCAAGAT